TAAATATCATGCAATAATGAAGAAATGTATATGGAAATTACAAATTAAAATCTATATATAAATATATATGGAAATTCAAATCACAAGCTAAAACTCTCCAAAAATAATATGGAAAAAAAGAACACCATTTGAAAACAGTGTAACCATTAACTAGAAGAAAATATAGCAATAATCACATTTGCAGAACAAGATAGATTCTTAAAAAAAAAAAAACATTTACAAATGCAGATATGAAAAATTCCTATGCTACATACAACCACATTATGACCAAAAATACTAAATAAAATCCCTTAACCTAAATTTAATAAACTTTATTCCAAATACCAAGACAGACAACTGAAGAAAAATACATGAAATAAAAATATGCAAAACAAACAAATTAAATATGTAAATAAATAAAATAACTTATCTATATGCACACTTTGCTCAACAACCCAACCAATATAAATAAGCAATCATGGCCATAAATAACTCTAAGCACAAAATAAAAACGCTGGTTTCAACAACCTTCCTCCATTTACCTTTATCCTCTAGTGACTTATATATATAACCCATGTAAGAAGAGTACCTCTTGTTTTGAGGACCACATTGAAGCATAAAACTGACAGTCATCAAACTCTGTTGAATCCAATATCCACTGTTTCCATCTAAACCACATTCTCTCTCTCTCTCTTTCTCTGTATGTGTGTGTGTGTATATATATATATATATATATATATATATATATATATATATATATATATATAAAAAAAAAGGTTTATATTAGTGTTTAAGCCTTTTTATTATATCCTTACTCTGTCCTAGACATTGAGTTCTACCTAGATTCTATCCTCTTGGAATTATTTTTTATACATATATATATATGCATGTGTATGTATGTATGTATATATATTTATATAGTTTAGATATATGATTGCATATGTGTGTGTATATTAACCACTAATATTATCAATATATATATATATATATATATATAGTTTATGAAAAACTAGGTAATCCGTATGGGTAAACCTAAGGAGGATAAAATCCAGAAAGCTCAATGTAAATTCAGAGCAAATAATCTAAAAAAAAAAACAGACCACTTTAAGGTTCCATGTAATAAATTATTTCACCACAGCCCTTTTAAAAGGACTGCGGATCATCAGATTTTACTTCCAAACAAAAAATGAAAAGAACATTTACATATTTTTGATGGGCTATATTAAACATATGTAAATTAACGAAGTGAAGAAGTGAGGGGGGACAGAGAAGACATCAATGAGTTAGCAGATATTGACACATTTAAACAATTAACTTAACGGAAGTTATATATTGATATCGAAGGGGTAGAGAAGAAAAAACCTATAGAGAGAAAAAGAGGGAAGGAAGTTAAGAGAGAAGAAGATGTCACTAATTTTCTTTGTAAAAAAAGGCTTGAAACAGACGCTGTTATTTTGCTTTACTTTGAAAGTGTTATTTTGGAGGTTCATAAAGATTATAATGTTTTTTATAAATTTGAATGTCTCTAGACTGTCTTTAAATAATTTAATTTGATGTTTGTTAGTGATTTAAATTTTTTTTAAATTTTGGGGATTTTCTATGAAATAGTCAATTAGAAAAATATTCATAGAAAGTACATTAAAAGAGTAAAATTTTATTTTAAAATATAAGTTTATTTCTAGTAATCTTTTTTTTAATCACTTTAAAAAATTTTTATTATTGATTATTAAGTTGACATCTCTATCCGTTAGAATTTTGTTCATGAATTTAACTCATGACTGTTTCTAGATAGGTAATCTCTTTTACTTAAATTTTAGTTAAGTTAATATGGGGTAATATTTGAAGGTAATATATATATATGAGGACAGCTGAAGCTAACGGATGGCACACAAGTTGATACTCGATCAGTATTGGCTGAGTCACTGCAGAGAGGGGTATGAAGTTGAAAGACCCAAAACCCCTAATGAACTTTGGCTAAAAACTTGACTAATGTTGTGCGCCAAAACATGAAACAGGTGTATTTCACAAAAATATGCATAAATACATACATTGAAAATATTTGTTTTAATAGGCATATTTCTAAACCTTTTAATTTTAATTCTGCATTAACCTTTTTATTTATTCATAACTGAATTCAGGAAATCTTCAAGAGCCAACTATTGACAAATTTCAGATTCAATGTGCTTATCTGATATTTATGAGATAAAATAAAATCTAAATCAAAAGCAATTTTGGAAAAAGAAAACTTATTAAAACTTTAAATCCATAAAAGGCATTTTACTAGCTAATTGTCTCATTTTATTATTTTATACTATTATAATTATAAGGTTATAATTTTTTAATAATAATGTCTATAATACGGTTATAATATATAAAATAAAAATGTGTTTATTAACCAAGGGTTTTTTTATATTTACTGTTTGAACTGTGCAGTCAATTTTTCTTAAAAAGACTAAAATTTCAGCAGATAAGAACAAACGTAAGAAATATGTTTATATCCAGATAAGTGAGGTTGTAGAATGGTTATCAACATGAAAAATGAAACCAGCATGCTGAGTTCAATTTTTGGCTGAGGCTGTTGTATTCACTTTGAACTAATGCTTTTAGGAAAGATGCAAAACTTACTCTTCTCCCCCTTATTATGTGCTAAATAATAGAGTAGACATGGTTCTTTCACCATAGAGGTGCAACCAGTCAATGTGAAAGACAAATCTTGACAATATCTCATGGCAAGGTGAACCTGCATTTTGTAGAGGATTGAGAAAGGGTTTATATATAGTGGAGAGACAGACAGATGCTGTTTCAAATATGAGGAAGGACTGAAATATTCTCAGTTCAACCAAGAAGCAATTCCTACCAAAATTCTGATACTTGGTCATTTAAAAAAATTTTGGAAAGAGGATCGGCTGAAGAACTTTTAACTACCCCCTTGTGGTTTTCATTGATTGGTTTTTTACATCTTAGCAACTCTTTGTGAGTTATTTAAAATCAAGACATATCTGGGATCAGAAGAATAATTCTTTTTATATGAGTAAATATTGCATTAATATTTTTTTTTTGAGATTAACCATGAAATTTCCTGACACAATTCAACTCATAGCTGGGTAGAGGAGATGGATTCATACCTTTCCCAAGGATATTTGCACATGTGAATGTAATGAACCTAAACAGAATTTGAACTCAGCTCTCCAATTTCTCATTCTGAGCCATTACTCCACCTGCACACCCACCACCCTTATAGTACTATCTTATTGATTACAGATGAATTCAATGTCATGACTGAAATATAAATATAATAATATAAATGTAAAACTTCAAAATCACTTCCTGCTATGTCTCTATTTTGTTGACGGGGATATGTGTTCTTCCAAATTTGATATGTTAACAATTGAAGAATTTTAAATATTATTTTGCATAGTCTATGGAACAAATTATTAAAAGTTCAAGATGCAGAAAAAAAAAACTTTATTCAATACATTATTGACAGTAATGTCATCTAAAGTAACATTTCTACAGATTATAAAAAGGATCTACTGATAATTTGATTTTGTATGTCTGTATGCAACCTCTAATTAACTGAAATGGTGCATTGTAAATAGAGATATTGAATTAAGATACTTCTAAAATGCAATAACTTAAAATGCAAGAGCCACTCAACGTAGAGGGTTACTGTGTGGTCTTATATTAGCATAGAAAAGAACAAGCGTTAGGTGTATAGAGCTGAAGCAGACTTTAAAAGGAACCGGAAACCCAATCCTAAACAAGAAACAAGGAATAAACCTCTATTTGTATTCAAAAGACCAGGGAAGAGTTTGAATTGGGGATGTTAACATTCAACACTTGAAGTTAAAGATTTTTTTCAATAAACGATAACTGTTAAATGCATATACAGAATACTATTCATTATTTACTTATTTTCTTGTTTGCATATGAGTTCAAAATCTGAAAAAAAGGTTCACTTTGGCACATTATACTGATAACATGACATTATTTATGAGGGAATGAATTCATTCATAATCTTTTTTACAATCATATTTTTCTCTCAAAGGGTGATCCCATGGGTCACAGTGTTGTCTAGTATTTTCCTAAAATTCAATATCCTGCTATGATAAATTTAGCTCTGAGAATCTGTTCAAATACAGTTTTTATTATTTAAGAATTGCAAACAGCCATTAAGAGCTTCAATTCACTTAAAATCTATTTTTTATTAAATTCATGAATCCTAAAGTAATGTCATATTTTTATAAGATTCTATTAAGAAAAAAGTGTTTTTAAAGTGTAAATAAGTACAGATAAGTATAAACTTTCGCTTATCAAAAGAGAAAAAATTAGCCCATTACTCATCACTAACTTGTATACATCATTTTTGTGTTTCATATATGTTCAGATTATTTTGTGTTTCATATATGTTCAGATTATTTTGTGTTTCATATATGTTCAGATTATTTTGTGTTTCATATATGTTCAGATTATTTTATGCTTCATATATGTTCAGATTATTTTGTGTTTCATATATGATCAGATTATTTTATGCTTCATATATGTTCAGATTATTTTGTGTTTCATATATGTTCAGATTATTTTATGCTTCATATATGTTCAGATTATTTTGTGTTTCATATATGATCAGATTATTTTGTGTTTCATATATGTTCAGATTATTTTGTTAGTCACAAACAAATGTCTTTCCATGTTATTTTATCATTTAATTCAGCTGTAGAAAAATTTCATATGGTTTCTTTAAACTTAATAAACATTAGATAATAATGTATTTATCAAATCTTAGATTTCATGAGAGATTTAATAACTAGTAAAATATAGGTTATACACTCATGAAAAAATCTTGTAAATTTTTCCAAAAGTAAGTTGGCTTCAAACCAAGTCAAATAATTTATTTTCTTACTGGAAATCCTAGTACTATAAAAATACATCTACTAAATTTTACTAGTAGTTATATTATACAAATATGACTGCATTCATTTTATTCCTTAAAAGCAAAAAGAGGAGATGATTTAACTCACCTTAGAAGAAATCACTCGGTTATCAGGATAAATTTGGTCTGGAATTTCAACTTCATTATTTGATATTAATTTGTTTCCTATGTAGATAGTTCTTGTGTCATGTTGTGGGCGTTTATCAATTCTCTGGAAAAGAAGAAAAGACATCGAATTATTAAAAATAAACATTTCTCCTTTAAAGATGGAATTTTTCATGTCCTTTTATTGTGTGTGGGAATTCTTTACATTTTAAATTTTCTTTTTTAATCTTGCCTCTGAATTTAACCTTTACTGCCTCATTGTTTCCTTATTTATATATCAACTAAAAAATTAATGAATTAAAAATAAGCCTACTGTGCCTTTTGATTAAGAAAACATGAATAACCCTAAAAATTATAAATGCACTTAATTGTATAAATGTAAAATCCCTTTAGAATGTATAAATGCTTGAGTAATTAAAACTGTGCTGTTAGATTGGCAGAGATATGTAAATGGTGATATTCTACTGCACTGACAAGATTACAGACATAAGAAATGAAATATACAACAATGGTGATATACCAGGAGACATAAGTACATTTATTTTCATAGCACTGCCTAAAAAGATAGGTACAAATGAATATTAACTCCATCAGACAATCAGTCTAATGAGCCACGTAACAAAACTTATCATCCAAATTCTAATGAATATAGCATACAGCAGAATCAGAGTGGAAATAGGACAAAAAAAAAATGTGGGTTTCTTAAAGACACACTAGATGAAGGAATGAGATATACATACTCAGAATGATATGAAAGAAAAAGCAATACAAATGCAGAAGGATCTGTTTTATAGATTATGCAAAAGCATTTGATAAAATATGTGACAAAGAACTGCTAGAACTGTTAGGTAACCTTGATATATTTGGGAAGGAGATTAGAATAATCTACAACTTATACTGGCAGCAAACTACCTGCATTCTGATAGAAAATGAACTCAGTAAATATACAAAAATAGAAAATGGTGTAAGATAAATATGTGTCTTCCCACCAAACTTATTCAATCTATACAGTGAGCGATTCTGAGAGAATTAGACGTCCTACTAGAATTCATTATTGCCAGCCACACACTTAAGAATATAAGATATGCAGATATTACAGTGTTGTTAGCAAACGCAGAAAGGAAACTACAAGAACTTTTACTCAAGGTAGTGAAGAAAGGACTAAACATCAATTACAAGAAGATGGAATGAATAATTGTTAGCAAAAGGAACAGCCTAATATGCAATTAGCAAATTGTAGATACCAAAATCAAAGAATTACAAAAATTTAAATATCTGGGAAGTGTTTTCACTGAAAGTGAAACACTGAAATCTGAAAGAGTATTGGGATAGTGAAAGGTGCTTTCCTAAAGCTAAGCAAAGTATTAAGAAATAGGAAAATATTGTTAGAAACAAAGAAAAGAGTACTGAACTGTTATGCAATATCAGTCCTTCTATATGGCAGTGAATGCTGGACAATCTCCTCACAGATGAAGAAAATACTTGAAGCAAGAGAAATGTGGTTTTCCAGAAAGATTCTGAGAATACCATGAACCGAATACATGAGCAACGACAAACTTTTTAGAGAATGGAAACAAAGTGGACTCTTATAATTAACATCAAAAAGCAATAATGGAAATTTCTAGGTCACATAACAAGGAAAGAGAGCTTTGAAAATTTGACACTCACAGGACAGATTGAAGGCAAGTGGGCCAGAGGAAAGCAATGCTTAACCTACCTGATGTACTTGAGTAAATGAATGGTGGGCCAAGGTTTAGGAGGGATAACAAAAAGAGAAAATTTATTAAGAGCTACAAAGGACAGAAAATTGTCAAGCCATGATTGACAACATCATCAAGGTACATAGAAGTAGATAAGCTACTAGATACTGGTTGATTATGTTTGGAAAAATGAATTCAAGATTATCTAAACTACAAAGATATGATTTCAAAACTTATCTTAATCTGATCAACTAGAGGAAATATAAAATTATTTGAGTGGATCTGAGTGCAGCTAAAAATTTCATTGAGCTTTAAAAAAAAAAGAAAAAAAGATTTACTCCAAAGATAAAAATAATTTGCAAGCCATATCCACCCCTTCAGTATACTTGATATCTTAATAAAATTGCAACAATATCAATTGGGAATGAGAGGGGGAAAATAGTCATTAGATTGACCCAATAGTCATTTTTTTATTGGTTTTAAATTAACAATAGACGAAGGAGGTGTTTGTCCTCAGTGAAATAATCCTGTAGAACACTTAATGTGAACCATCCCAAATTGTTTTCTAGGTTAACTGAATAGTGTCTTTTTATATGAGCATAATGTGAAAAGGTTTTACTTTTTTTTCTCTTTTTTTTTTTTTTTTTTTTTTTTTTTTTTTTTTTTACACAAATAAACTTTAGTATTGGGAGGTAGGAAGAGAAAATTTATGACAAAGTGGAAAAAGTTTTCTTGTGTCATGTTTGGTCCTTTAGGAATTCATCAGACTAAATTTGTTGTTGTTGTTGTGACTCACACGTGACAAATGAAGGGTGCTGGGAATTTTAAATTAAATTTTTTTTTTTTAAATCTCACCTTTTTTGTTTAGATTCTTTTTCTTTCCATCACATTTGTTATTGGATATCCCACACTGTGATAACAGAAGTTTGCTAGAAATGATGAAAAGCCAGGGTGCAAATTTACTGTAGATAACCTTGCAATCAATGCATTCTGTAGACATTTTTATGGTAGTGAATTGTTTTCTCTTTTGATAAGAGTGGCAAATTCCCCTTTAGTAATTCAACTCTCCAAGTTTTTGTTCCCTCTGCTGTGGCCACATCAAGTCACTTTTTGGATCACTCAACCAATGCTTTTATCCACTGGGCTATATGTCCTTGGTGACATTAGTGAGTCAATTTTGGGGATTTATAAACCTATTGTCTCAGTAATCATCTTTTTTACCAGAGCTCATATTAGAATTTTCTTGTTTTTGTTGTTTTTCTCTAGCACTCATTATTCATATCTATGCATGACTGGCTTAGGAGATTTTTGTATCCTAGCATATGCACTGATTCCTTAAGTTTTTATATTTTCCATTGATGTTTCCTGTCTATTATTTCAACTCCATCCAACAGAGGGTGGTGATCTCCCTTTTCCCTCCATACATTTTCAGCCATGCCTGATTTTTCTATATCCTATCATGTTGTGACCTTACAGTGTTCCTGCAGTCTTATCTTAAGGGGGTGACCTGTTTCTCCTTTATATTTCTTGCCACAGCTGCATAGGAAGGTGTACACACAGTGCTTAATCATGTTCTCCTCTATGGGTGGCCTTACTTGGACGAGATATTTGTGTAGTGTTGAATATGGCAATAAAGATGAGGACAACAGTCTGAATGATGTAAATAGTGTAAATAGTTACAACACCTCATCTCAGAAATATAGAAATATTTAATTATGTTATATTTAGAATTTTATAAAAGTATTTATGTAAAAAATCCAAGATAAACTCAGTAAACATTATCGACAAATCCAAGTTTCTATAATGAGCTACCTTTTTATGTTTGTTAAGAAATTATCCACTTCAGTGAATAAATCCGTTTCTACTTGTTCAATTCTCTTTTCCTATGTGTCATGTCCTTTTAGGGTGTGGGTAATCATGGCCCTCCACGGCTTCTGTTACTTTTAACAATACTTGCTCCTTTATGACCCCACAACTTTGACTGTGTGGGATATGTTTTGTCATCCATTTGCTCAAAGTTGTCAAGTAGGTGTTTTGCTGCATTCTTCTCTTTCTCTTCCATTCAATATGTCCTGTTAGTGTTAAATTCTCCAAGCCTTCTCTCCTTGTTTGTGTTCTAAATATTTTTGATGTCTCTTTCTGATTGTTAACAACAACATATTGTAGTTACATTTTTTAATGGAATCTATTCATTGTATTTTCAATATTCATCATTGTCTCAAGTCTTTTCTTCATTTGTGACATAATCACTCAGTATTCACTCCAATACAAGAGACCAATCATACCATAAGCCTATTTTAGTGTATGTGTTCTCATCATAAATCAATCCCAAATCAATTTAAAACTCATTAAGTCTCATGACTAGAGAATATAAAAAGACTGCTTTCTTATGTTATCACATTTCTTCCATTTCATATCACATTGGACAATAATTAGCTTTTATTATGAAAACATTTAAATCAGTTTAGATTCCACATTTTAATTCAACAATACAACATTCATTAATTGTGATCATCAATATTTTATAACATACCTCAATATTCCTCCAGGATTTTGATGAAGGTAAAAATCTGTCTAATTATATGTTCTTTTCTTATTTTTAATCAGAAAACTGTCAAATTATGAAAACTATTGTTAATTGTGATATTGTGTAGTATAATTCAACTAGGACAATGCTTTGATCAGTATATGAATTAATAAAAGCAAGTAAGGATTTATTTTGTACAACAAACAATTAGTGATAAACAATAAAGAATGGACTTGTAAATAAAGAATGGACTTGTAAAATTTATTAGAAAATGATATTAAGAAAAACTTTAAGGTGTGAATGGTTGGTTTTTCTATCTGTAAGAAACAGAAAATATTAATATTATCATTTTTACGTGTTTCTTCTCAACATTACAGTTTTTATCTCTTTATGCCATCTCATAAAATTGGGGTGTATTTTTATTTCCTGCTTTCAAATTTGGTAGAAAAAAAATGGGATGGAAGACATAGATAGCTATAATACATATTTTAAACTGAAGTAATAGTCAATCAATATTAACAGTGTTATATTTCAATAATGACTCAATTACACTGTCACATATTGATTTCAGTCCTAACAGAATAACTAGTAAATTTGTTTGCAAGTCCAAAGGAAAAGAGAAATAAAAGAATTGACTGTTCACTTTTAAAAGGCTAAAATTGAATATTTTTTATGCCTTTTCATGGTTTTATCAAGGTTTTCTTAAACTTTTGAAAACCATATTTGGTGAAATGGTGGAGAAAGAAAATATGTAGCATTTATTTTATCTTCAGAGAAAATAAAAAAATTACAGTTAAGGTTATTAAGACATCAAAAGTTTTACTGAAAATAATTTGTAAGATAATATCTTTTGTAAATTTGATAAAATTAAAAGTCATG